CCGTCGGCGACTGTCTCCCGTCGACATTTGGAGCTTCCTCTTTTTCGTTGATTATTACCATGCAATAATATTCTAAATTATTTTATCGTATAATTCTTCTTAAGATAACTGACTCTTGAGAAGAATTAAACGATAATTTTCAAATAACAAATATGATTGGCACGTGCAGGCCTTGGCACTTGTTGTCGGCGCGTCGGTTGTGTATATAGTAAACAAAGCCGTGCGAAGGTCGCCGCCGCTATCACTCGCGCGACGACGCTCGAACGAGCAGGCAGTATCATCGTATTGCTTTTCCTCTATGATTTATTTATTCATGAATGTCGATCCGGTCGATGACTTCATATTTACGATTAATATACATATATTCCGCACACACACATCGCGACAGCAGTTTGCTAAAGCAAATATTTCGCGCGACTTAAATCCATTAAAAGCGAAAAACGAAACGAGAGATACAACGATCTAAGAATTATGAATTACCGTTCCGCTGTAATAAGTTCAGTTATGATCATTTCTGAAGCGAGAATATCGGCACCTGCACGCGTGCTCTCGCGAGAGTCCGCGCGCCTTTGCACGCGTCCCGGCATATTTTCGTGTCCGCCCGGTCTTTTTACAGGCGCTTTTATGTGTGATCCTATTAGTATAGCTACGTAAAAGAGCATGCCTTGCAAAGATCACATATAGCATTATATCAACGTAATGATATTTCTATTGTAGAAAAATAAATCATATATATACGGTGTCGTGCGGTTTTTAGAGTTCCGCTTTTATCGTTATTCAACATATATCATGCAACAGTATTTTGAAATTGTTTTATGGTTGAATCCCTTTGAAGAAAATAATGCCTTGCATACGAGTTATATGGAACAGAAAAATATTCGTGAACATCAATTAATATATGTAGGTTAATAATCATCTTGCGACGGAGTCGCTAACGGACGAGTTTTTATTTTAGGGCTACGTTCCACATTCAATGCTTTTCGCGCTCACGGAATCATTTTATCCCTGTTGTTTATTAAATGTTCAAACAAGGACAAATGATTCACCTAACTGCTGCCACGTCTGTGAACTTAAAGAACGGAGCATTACTCCAAAAACACATGAAGCCAATGAAACAGCTCCGCCATCGAGAGGCAATACTTTCTCTCTCTCTGACTGAGTTCCGTAAAACGCGTGATATGCACGACGTATCATTTTATCTTTGTTTACCTACAATGTTTACATCGTGCGCATCACGCGCTTTACGGAACTCAGCCTCTCTCTTTCTCCTCTCTCTCTCTCTCTCTGTCTCTCTCTCCCCCCCTCCCCCTGCCTCTCTCATTACTCATATTGCTTTTCAAAATAACTGCAGGTCAAACTGCCTCCCCATACGAGGCTTCAGTTGATCCCTCCTCGCCCATATGGTGAACTCATGCTCCGTCCTTTATGTCCAGGTGTTCATTAAATGTCCATTCCCTTCGTTCTACCAGACTTCCACCTGGCTCAACGATCTTCGTTATGCGCCTTTTCGATGACGTAGCGAAACCGCGCGGCATCTGTCCACGTCAGATTGCACGGCCTCGCACGCCACACGCGCGGTTTTCCTGTGGACGTGACTCGCCGACGGCGCGGCCCGCTCGAAACCTCGTGGCAGTCGATGAGGGAAACGTTCACGCAGATGACAAGCTACCTGGACATTTCCTAGCGTAAACAAGGTATACACTCGTAGACCGCACGAGATCTCGCCGAGATTGCGCGGAGCGGAAGCCGAGAACGATATTCCACAGGCGAGCCTGCAACGATTAACGTATGTTTTGTTTTCCTTTTTTCGAACAGTGCAACGAAGATGCATTGGACACTGTGCGCGTTGATAATCGGGTCGTTCGGCTGCAAATACATCCTCGGCCAGGCGCAAAGGGTGGCGCCGGGCGTACCGCCTCAGCATTATCAGCAGGTAACCGATCGCGTTTTTTTCCCCCAACATCTCGGCGAAACATATGGTCCAGCGGTGATGCTTCCCGGCATCGCGTGACGTGGAACTCGTGGAGGTCGATTTAAAGCGAGGCGTGATGCCGATGCAATTCCGTTCGATTCCCGACGTTGCGCGAGGAAGGATCTTTTACATTTGATCGCGTTTTATCTTATTGGTAAACAAGCATTAAAGTTCGTTATTGCCGTTCGCATTTGACATTCGGGCATCAAGCTTCAAAATATAAAGTGGAATTGTATCGACATAAAGCATCTGACTTTAAAGCATTTAGCATGGTTTACAAACAGCTGTTATAATGACACTCCGATGTAGATTGTAATATAATTATATATTTATTTGTCTGTTTCAGCCTCAGGTACCCCAACATGCGCAGCATGTGCCGCAGCAGCAGGTAAATTTGTACTTTAATTATCTCATTATTTATGTTCAGCTGCAATTTACTTTCCACTTGTAATTCATGTTTGGCTATGGTCGGCTCTTTTCTCAGTCTATAAGTTAGGTTATGTTTGGCTTTTTTCTCAGTCTATGTAAGGCTCAAATGTTCATTTGATTAATCTCTGGCTTAATAAAATTCTGCTCAAGTATCAAGTACCAGTACAGCAACAAGTCCCCGTTCAGCAAGTACCGATGCAACAGCAAGTACCCATGCAGCAGCAGGTACCTGTGCAGCAGCAGGTACCCATGCAGCAGCAGGTACCGGTGCAACAACAAGTACCAGTACAACATGCTGGTCACCAACCCCACGGGCATGGTCATAATGGGCCACCTCAGTTACTTAACACTGCCAACATAGCGCATGAAAAAGAGTAAGTGTTATATGGATATGGAGTATATCTGTATAAAAATTTAATTTTGTTTTCAAGTTTTGCTTGTCATATATACAGCCTTGGCCGTAACTATAAAGCACCCCCACAAATAAACGTAAATGCTCTATATTCAACGAAAAATTAATTTAAAAATATTTATATTCATTTTTATTACAATTTTATTTTGTTAGCCCTCCTATTGACTTCTATTACCGCCTTTTCCAAGAAAATATAGATGCTTTATACTTTTGGCTGACTATATCAAGACTGTATATAAAAAATATATATAAGGATTGTAATATATATATATATATCATGACAGTTTTTCTTTCTTTCTAGACACATTGCCGAGCATGCTGACGTTCCGATAGACACCAGCAAGATGACAGATCAGGAGCTGCAGTTTCACTACTTCAAAATGCACGACGCAGATAACAACAATAAGTTAGATGGTTGTGAGCTGATCAAATCTCTCATACATTGGCATGGTACATACGAATTAAATTCATCATTTCTCTCTCTCTCTCTCTCTCTCTCTCTCTCATTGTATTTTTTTCTCATGAACTGTGAATTTTTAATATGCTTTCGTTATGTCCGTAGAACAAGGTAGCTCGGAATCTGGTGCGCAAGGCGAGAATAAATTGTTCAAGGATGAGGAATTAGTGCAATTGATAGACCCGATACTCAGCATGGACGACAGTAATAATGACGGTTATATCGATTACCCGGAGTTTATTCGTGCCCAACAAAACGCCGCAGCTAATGTACGCACGTAGTGGTGAATCAAAATCTGGTATGAACCGCAACTAAAAGGAATTTTGCAAAGTCGAAGGAACATAATGCAGGGAATGTTAGAGTTTCATTAAGGTTTCACGATGCATTATCGATTCATCATTTGTTCCATATGTACATGATGAGACCGAATCGGTATTTGTGATAGTCCATCCTTTATTGACTAATTATGAGTTACAAATAAGAAAAAAAAAGAACATTGATGAATATGGAAAAGAGAGGGAACTTTTTTTTATATTAATGTTATACACGTATAGACAATACATAATTTGAAAAATTGTATAATTGAAAATAGTATAGTACAATTAATGAAATAATTGAGGAGTATAAAATTCCTCTTAATTGTTTACGTTCGACGAGATTAATTTTTACAATGGAAGTGTTTATTGCGCGTCATAATTTTCTATCGTTGAATTTTTTTATAATGATACACCAGAAGACTATTTTTTGAACGAGAATATTTTATAGAATATCTCGGAATATCTTTGTTAATAAATAAAATGGGTTAGTTTATCAATTTCTTATCATTGTTGAACATGAAATAATTGTAAAGTAAGTTTACAAAAAAAAAATGTATTAAGATAATAAATGTTTCGTTTTCTAGTAAATATTTCTGAGTAAATACTGATAAGGCATAAAGGTTTTCATGTAATAATAATAATGTATATACATACCTTTTATCTAACATATGTATCAATTAAAAAATTGTTTATAATTCTATTAATTTATACTACATTCCGAAGCTCTTTTGCAAGATTTTATCAAAAAAGGTAATATAGATAAATATGTGTACATAGAAAAATAAGTAATATATAACAATAATTCAATTTATTGATTTTTACATTTCTCTATATCAAAATGCTATCGATAATCACAGAAACACTTGCAATTTTATTTAACGTTGAATAAGTATGCATGGTATAAGAAGGGTTCTACCTCTAGAGAGTGACATAAATCTGTTGACAGGGATCTCGATCATTTGCCCATGAAAATACGTGGTACGAAAATACATGAGATAAATACATTAAAATGACTAGCTTGCGGACTAGACTTGTTAAATTTATATAAGCAACTCGCGCGCGCGTATTCGCTTATAAATACATTCCGTTAACCAAATAATCGGCGTCGTGCGCGAAAGGTCCGTGCCCGCATCTTCCACGCCGTTTTACCACTCGCAAACGGCAAACGATCAAAGCGGCCGTGATCGCGGTCGCGATAAGTCCCAGTGACAACGACACCACGGCACCTTTGGGCCTTAAAACGTCATTTTCAATTATTTGAAGATGCTCCGCAATAACGTCAGTTCTGTCGTGTGTCTTCGGGGGCTCTTCGATTACAATCACCGTTTTACGATCTGAAAGATGTGAATCTCGTTGTGATAAGAAAGAAATGAATGCATTGTACAAGATGTTAAAAAAGGATCCAAGAAAGATGATCCTAAAAAATTAAAAGAACCTTGTAGCACTTGTATGAGGAGCCATACATATGTACACGTCAACAAAATTAATTATCCTATAATCCTTAATAATTATCCTATATCCTTTACTCGCAAATAAAAGATCCATATGTTACAATTATCGAAAACAGATTATATATATCTTTGAATTCTTCTCAATATTTTATTTATACAAGTGTTTAACTGCGTGTTTACCTTTCGACTCTTTTTCACGGTTATGTTTGATAACCTCACTCGCTGTTAAAGTTGGTCTTTCAGTAATTTGTTTACTCGTCTTTACATGCGTCAAGTATGTATTGGTTTTTTCTTCCTTCTTTACAGGCTCTTTATTCTCATTTATCAACTCACTTTTATGCTCCTCCGAGGTCTACCAATAAAATCAATTATTCGCGCATGATTTTTTCGAAATTCTGTAATAATTCTGATTGCCGAGAGCGACGTATGTACTTACATCGCAAGCGGCCGTCGTCGTAATTATTGCAAGATTTTCCACATCATTGGCCTGTTGCTTATGTTCAGAATTCGGTGCGACAGACGGTGCAAATTGTACGGGGTTCTCGTGCCAAACTGGCACTTTATTTGACGATGGAAAATGCGGAGAATACGAATGCTTGGAATCCATATACGGCCCTCTAAACATGAAATTATAAATCAATCAAAAAATAAAATCTACTTGTTAATTTAATATAGTAATTAAACATAATTAAAAAAGAAGAATGCAATACCTGTCCGCCTCGTTGTTTCCTATGACGCTCGAGCCTTTGTGATTGAATATGTGCGGTTGTTCTGTGAAAAAAACATACATATTCACAATATATAAATTAACACAATCCAAACGACAAACACGTGTGTGTGTGGCGGAAAGATAATTATATTTCACGTACGTTCGTAGGGGTTTATATGCTGTTCGCGAATAGGATTAACGGGAGCGTAGGGATCCTTGTTTTGCTCGTACAAGGGCTGGTATTCCCACTGGTATCCCGACGACGATCCGTAATTCTTGGGCATCTGCATCTGCGGCTGCACCTCCACCGGTTGGCCGGGATACAGAATACTTTGCGAATGCGACTGCGGCAGAATCTGATGGGCCAGATTCGATATGTCCCAGGTCTTGGGATTGATCTCCGGCCCGGGATAGAACGGGGGCAGGAGTTTGCGCTGGTCGACTATCTGCTGATATCGCAGCATATCGGCGGGCGGACGTGGCATCTGTATTATCGGGGGGACCGTCGGTTTCTCCGTGGGGCACACGAGATCCGCCGCCTCGTCGGAGCCGTCCGCGCACTGCGGGATACCGTCGCAAACGTTGTATATGGCTATGCAGTCTCCGGACGAACGACACTCGTACTGATTTCTGCTGCAAGCTGCGTGTCATCAACGAGAGAGATAATATTAGTATTTACGTCAATTTCTCGATGAAATTCTTCACGACCGATCTATAACTCATCGCCAGACATTCGTTAACAAGCGTACCTGGCTTGACCGGTGCTGCTGGCGTAGTCACTGTCACTTTTGCCACCTGCGTGACCACAGCCTTGACAGGCGTTTCCGTGAATCCGTAATCCGACGTGATCTCGTTGCTTTTCCTGAGGCGTAAAAAAACTTATAATTAGTCGCGAAATCGATAAGGAACAATAGAGGAAGGAAGGTAACTGAAGGTATATAAATACCTAAGGGATTTTAACTCGTGCTCCTGCTGAGATATCCTGACTTCCTCCTCCACCTGCACATTCTGTATGGGATAGCTCGTGCGCACGGCGCTGGTATAATTGGCGTGCCTCGTAAACTTGCACTTGAAGTCGTGCAGCGGGCCGCACTGGAAGAGGTAGCAGCTGCTCGGTTTCTGCAAAAACGACGACGGCCGGATGAAAAATCGATAAATCTTCATCTCGTCATTTATGTGTATCGCGCATTTTGTCGGTTTCTGGCAAAAATCAAAAATCGGAGCGAACGAGTCGAACGTAAGAGGGGAGAGTGACAGAGGCGTAAACGGAGCTTTTCTCCAGGAGGCGAAGATTGTTGACAACCCGTAATGAAATGTAAAAGAAGCGTAAAACGTTTTCTTCTACACGTGTCTCACTCTCCCCTTGGTACATTCGACTCACGCTCCAGTCTTTATCTTCATCACGGTACGATCACGCGCGGTACTAATACCTTCTCCTCGAAGATGAACACGTCGCAGCGCTCGGTCTCGCAGCAGTACTTGAGGCAGTCCAGTCTGGAGTCGACGTCCAGCACGGTCAGGAACTTGGCGCCCATCTCGCGCGAGTCCTGGGTCCTGATGATCTTGTCCTTGTGGATGTCGAAGCTCTCGAGGCACATCTGATAGTCGCTCGTGCCGCCGTGCCTCTTCTCGCTCGCGCGGATCGGCGCGTTCGGCGCGTCGCCGTGCGCGCGGTGGAGGATCACGGCGACGAGGATCAAGGGAACGACCCGCCGCGCCCCGTCCAACATCGTTCCCGCTTGTGCATCACTGTGCATCACAGCGCACTGGAGTGTGTGACTGGAGCCTGGTGGAGCCACGTCCAACTCCTCGTCCAAGTTGCGCGCGCTGTCGCGCCCGTATCGCGATCGATAGCCGAATCTTATATAGGTCTCTTGTAGTATGTTGCTCAAACGGCGAACTCGTGCCCTTTTTCGAGCCCTTCACGAGCGAAATGAATGTCCACAACGGAACGTCGCGGAAACGCGTAGCCCTTGTCTCACCTCTTTTTCCCCCTTTTCCTCCTCTCTTTCCCTTATTAAATTTTAACATTGCGTAATAGCCTCGATTTAATTAAACCTCTTCACTCGCGCGCGAGGTTATAGTTTAAGGTTACCGAAGTCGTGCATGCGTATTAATTAATTCGCGTCTCATGCCGATCGCATATATGTCACAGCGAGATTTCGAACTACGATAATATATTAGCGATCGTGTTGGAAATATCCATATTACTGGCAGCGATGTAATTTTTATCGAGATCTAGATAATTGCAGAAATGACGTATATAATATAACTTTTCTAATAAATTCAAAATGTAAATGAAGGAATCGTAGTTGCGGATGATAAACTCGATATTATTAGAGTATAGACTATGCGTAGAGTACAAATGTGAATTAGAGTTAGATATTGAAATTCGTCGACCTGCACTGTCTCCCGTCGGCGTTTGGAGCTAATTCGCTCTTTCTCGTTGATTATCATTATTATTGAAACAATGTTCTAAATCATTTTATCGTTTAATTCTTCTTAATTAAGAGTCAGTTAATGTTAAGAAGAATTATATAATAAAATAATTAGAATTTTAGTTGAATGGTAATAACAGAGAGAAGCATGAGAGCGGCCGTTTTTCGCGACACCGGTAAAAGTTTTGATCTCCCCGTACATTAGCGCTAATTGCTTCCACTTTTGAGATGGAACTACGAACACAGCCATTGTCATTGGCTGTGTACGTATAATAATCAATAATAAATAATAATAATAATCAATAATAATAAATTTTCATTTCAATAATCATCTCTGGTAATAATCAACGAAAAAGAGGAAGCACCATGCCGACGGGAGACAGTCGCCGACGGGAGGCGTGATTTCTCGAAAAATGCGTTTATACAGTAACAATTTCACGCATCCTTTAATGCGAAGCATGCTTTCTCGAGAAGACCTTATTAATAAAATATTCTAGAACATTATTATTACATAATAATTAACAAACGATTTTCAGTGTTTATTATGTTTTATCGTAAGAAATTAAGTTGCCGCGCCTTATGTAATTATATATAATCAATAGATATTATAATAAATTAAATTTGGAGTAATTTTAATGTTACATTATAATTAAATAATAGTTTAAATTTAATTACGCATCTGTGGAGATGCATAAAGGATCATAAATATTATTAAAAGTACATATTGAGATGAGAGGTTAAGCAAAAACCGGCTTTCGCAGCGTCAGAAACTTCGTTTAAATCAAATAAAGTATCAGGAGCGCACGTTAACAAGTAAGTGGCAGAGGTATTCGGGGCGGAGGCGCTTCCCTTTCCACATCGACGCAGCGATGGCCGCCAGCGCGCCATGGAAGGGGAGCCGCGCGGGTCCTACCCCCACCCACGCGTATATGCTGCTTTTGCGCCAAGAGGCGGGGCCTACGCGCCGAGTGATGAGAGTGGGAGTAGTCTTAGCTATGCTTTGGGATACTGCCTGCGACCTCTTCGCTCAACGTGTTCTCCGCGTATCGGCGGGATCAGTTTTCGAGCCTCTATCGAGGCGCGCTGGCTAGGATTAGTAGAATTCCGTGCGACCTCTTCGCTCGACGTGTTCTCCGCGTATCGACGGGAGTTTTTCAGCCCCTATATCGAGGCGCGCTGGTTAGTATTAGTAGAATTCCGTGCGACCTCTTTGCTTAACGTGTTCTCCGCGTATCGGCGGGAGTTTTCGAGCCTCTGACGAGCGCGCTGGCTAGACTTCCCCTTCCACATCACGCATGCTGCTTTTGAGCCAAGAGGCGGGGCCTACGCGCCGAGTGATGAGAGTGGGAGTAGTCTTGGCTATGCTTTGGGATACTGCCTGCGACCTCTTCGCTCAACGTGTTCTCCGCGTATCGGCGGGAATTTTTCAGCCCCTATATCAAGGCGCGCTGGCTAGGATTAGTAGGAGTCCGTGCGACCTCTTCGCTCAACGTGTTCTCCGTGTATCGGCGAGAGTTTTCGAGCCTCTGACGAGGCGCGCTGGTTAGGCACGTGGACATGGTTCGTGTCCGTGCTAATCGTGCATTTATATGCCACATTCTTCACCTACAATTTGTAGATGTAGTACAGACATGAGTTGGAATGTCATTTCATCAGCAACATCGCAAAATAAACGTGATCTATTTATTCACGATTAGCACGGATACGAACTACGTCTACGTCTCGTGCTATGATTTGATCGACAGTGTTATAAGATAGACGTGAAAACGTGGACGTGGGGTGCTAGTGTCCGGGGGAGATCGCCGGTCCCACCCAAAAAGCCGGCGTGGCCGCTCTCACGTTTCTCTCTGGAAATAGCATACATTTTATAGAAAAATCTAAATTATTACGCGTGTCGCGACCGTATAATGTCAGTCAATAAGGTCGATCGCTCTCTCTGTGGACGTGCCTTTAATAATCGAACGTTCGCGACGCGACAGATGGCGATAGGCGCGGGTGGGGAGCTCCGTGACAGCGGCGCGCGAGGGGCACGCACGCCGTACAACGGAATGATTTCGTGACACCGGACCGGAGCGGACGCACGCAAAAAGAGCGGAGTACGCAACGTGAAGTAAACGCGACGCGGGTTGCAACGGTAATCATCGAGAAGTCAATCCGGGGGGCGGGGCAGCGGAATAAATTCGTTCCGGCGCGAGAGAGGAGCGGCGTCTTCTACGTCCACGTGCGGCTATACGGCTCGTCCTCGCGCCGCGGGCCTCGCCGTATAGGTTAAGGGTTGCAGGCAGGCGCGCACACGAGATCGGAGGGAATAATAGCCGGAATCGGAGGACAAAGAGGGCAGAGAGAGTGCGTGCTCCAATATATATCGGATCCCTCGTTATCTACACGCGGAACAGCGTATCCGCGCGAACGGACAAGTCGAGTGACCGAGGACGGAGCCAACGGCGGTGGAGCGAAAGAGTTGAGGTTAGAGGCGTTTTTTTTTTTACTTTCACGGCAAAAACATCGTCAAAACAACGAGACTTGAGATTTTAAGAAACCCGACCGATCATAGTTGATTATTCGAATCTCACGTTTAGACGAATAATCGATTACGACTGGTCGAGTCTTCTTAAATCTCATTGTCTCAAGTCTCGTTGTAGGCGACGCTCGTAGAACGACGTCGCCGAGGGCCGCGCGAATCCGTACCGGAAGGTTCGCGAGTCCGCCGGCGCGTCTGATTTACAATTACTCGCGATTTAACCCTGTCAATTATCATTCAGGCTGTCAGGTCGCTTCGTGACGAGGGAGAGAAGAGACGTTGGCATTTTTTTTCGTCGCGAGAGGAAAGGGTGAATTTTGACGCGCGGAAGGGCACCGCGAAGGTCTCCGATCGACGTCGCCCACCGCCCGGTGGACGCGCGCGCGCGCGCGCGCGCGAAAAGGCGGATAGGTATTTACGGAGCACCCTGTATAACGCGGCGATAACAATTCCGTGGCGCGGGCGAGGACAAAGGCGCGCTTTCCGTGCGGCAGAAATAGCGCGAAATCGGGGGTTCGCGCTGCTTTCGAGAAGAAGAAGAAGAATCACCCTCGTTACTAACTTACTTAAAGAACGAAAAAAAAAAAAAAACTTAAATGCCGTATTGCCTTATCGTTTTGCGTTGTCGCGATAATAACAAACGTACCCGATGTTGCGCACGTCTCTTTGTGTGTATGTGTGTGTGTGTGTGTGTGTGTGTGTGTCGACGTTTATAGTGAAAAAAATAAACTCGTAAGAGGGATAGATAAAGAGATAAGAAAAGAGATAGGGATTAAGCAGAAGAGGAGCGAACTCGACGTATTGCGGCGAGAACTTTATACGCGAGCATTCGACACGTGTATAAAACTCTAACAATCGGAATCGTGCGTTTGAATTCGATGAGCCCCCTCCCCCGTCCTTCCCCTCCCCTCCCCTCCACCCCACCCCCTCCGTTATCCCTTGCTGGTGAGAGAAGAGAGAAGATAAAGAGATAAGAGGAATTATCGCCCTTTTTTTTCCGATTTCTCTCGCGTCGGGACGGCCTTCAGGTTGCGATGACGAAACGATAGACTTGTTCTTCGTAACGCGTTGCCTCGTCTCTCCTCTCTCTCGCCTACGTCCGTTTTTTAAGCGCGGAAAGTTTTAATGCACAGAGTAGGAGGATAGACCTTGCGCTAAGCTATCGCGCTAACAAAACACGCGATAACGCGAAGGTGTTGTTTTCACGTGTTTATTATTTGAGATATATAACGAGATGATACACCGCTTAGCGGAATGTGTGTGTATGTATAGACCTGGCCTCCGATACACGATCGAGCCTCTACAAGAGTCGCGGGGACTTTGTTTTTAATTTACAGAGATAATCGCCGCCGTTAATTATGACGACCATAGACTCGGACGATGATATCGAGAAGCTGCCGCATATACAATGGGACAACACGGCGGCTACCGGGCCAGCTGATTGTATGTTCCCCGGCGAACTGACACCGTTGAAATGCCAAATAGCCGGTCATCCCTTCAACGGCGAAAGGCAGACTATCGGTAAGGGCGATTCGGTAGGACGTACTTGAATGAAAGTTATAACGGTAACTTGAAACTCAAAATTTGTAAAGTTTGTACAGTATTATATATATATAGCAGAGATACACTTGTGTCAAATTTATACGTATATCTTTATTTATTTTATTAAAAGTATTAAAAATATAATATTTTTAATGTTCAACATTTAATTATTTCTTCTGAATTAATACTGTAAATACTTCATTTCTAATTGATATTTATATGAATACTTAATAATAATAGATAGAAATATTAGAAATATAAATTTTAAACTTAAGTTTTCTGTTCTTGAGATTAAGATTAAAATTGGGTCTTTTGTTTAGAAACTTAAAGTTTGTTTAAAATTTTAAATATACTTTCATTTTTTATAGAAATAAACGTGTAAAATGCATTTAAAAATTATAAATTTGCTGAAATTACTGAACTATTATACATGCTCAAAATATGTACCAATTGTCAAGGTCAACTTACATGTGTTTCAACATGTTATTTTCATTTTGAAAAATAAAAAGAAGTAGTAAGAGAGAAAGTAATGCTTTTCCTATTTGATTTGTAAAACAAGAACGAAAATATTATTTTATATCGAATTGAATACAATCGTGAAATCAATGTTTATCGATAACGTATAAACGTTTGTGTGTTGAATAGCATCGTGAAAGATTGTTTCTCTGATTACAGGCATGCTGATTTGCAGACGGACTGGCTGCATATTGAAACCGGCGACTAAAGTGATCCTTGGGGAAAGAGAAATTGCATTCTACGAGAACTTGAAGAATTCTCATGATCCCGTTGCAATGGAATTAAAAAAATTCGTTCCACGTTATTATGGCACAACAGAACTGCGTGTCTTTAATAACCGTAAGGATTTTCTTGACAGTCCGCAAATGTGATACAATGACTTTGTAAATAAACTGTGATATAAGACCTAATTCTTCTAAAAACTTTCACGTGCGCGCGTACATGTGTATATATACATACATATTTGTATATTTATATAACTTATATACACGCATTATCTGTAATCTTAATTGTGTAATATAAGAATTAATTTTATCAGAGCGTGAGAGATGTGAATATAATATTATTTGAATGGCTAATTTATTCTCTTCTTAATCTAGACATCTTTTTTTCATTAAACCGTTTTGTCCGATAACAGGTACGAAATTCCTCATGCTTAGGAATATTACAAAGGGCATGGCCGAGCCATGTGTGATAGATATCAAGATCGGTTTTCGTACGTGGGACCCTTTGGCCACGCCAGAGAAGAGGAAAACGGAAGAACTCAAGTATGCCGAATCGAAGCGTACTTACGGTTTTTGTATAACAGGTTATCAAGTATATTCTGTCTTATCTGGACGATTAAGGAAATATGACAGAGATTATGGCAAGCAACTCGGTGTCAGTGGCGTCGCGGAAGGTATCTGCTTTAGAGTTTTAGAAGACATACGAAGTCGATAAGAAAGAAAAAAAGAATTATTCGGTACAAATCCGAAATTTATGAATATTAAAAGTCTATTTCAGGATAGGATAGCGAGTTTACTTAAATAACCGGGAAATAGCCTGCTTACAGATTCGAATGTGGTTAAGGCTATAAGACTTTTTCATTGGTGATCGATTGCAAATCGAAATTAGTATACCTTCCAATTTTGATATTAATAAATAAAGTTTTAACTTTTGTTGATGGACACTATTATCCGTTGTATCTTTACAAGAAATATATCTTTTTTAGGAATTAGAAATACAATCGGTATATTATTCTATTTAAAAAAAATATATATATATCGACGTAATTCAGATAATATTACCACCAAGCGATAATAATTTCATATCGACGTTCTAGGATTAATAAGAAAATTAATTTTGTTAGCTCGAGCACGTGAAAAAAAAAGATCTTTATGATGTGTCCTACAATCTAGCTAATAAGACTTTGTTAAGCTTTTGATTTTTCAAAACCGCGTTAATACTCTTCTTCTTGTCTTCACGCAGCACTGGAAGATTTCTTGAACATAATACCTGGAAAGCCAGTCTGCAAGCAGTTGGTCTCCGAAATCTTGACGTACCTGTACAAAATCGAGCAGCTCTTCAACATGCAGCAGAAATACTGCTTCTATTCCAGCTCACTTCTGGTCGCCTACGACGCCCAACACCTACGGCAGCATTGTCCGTTGAAAGATGGTAGTTCGGTCTCAGCGCCGAAATTCGACAAAGAAACGATACGCGAGACAGTTCCCCCCGTAACAGTACCTGAAGTGCACCAGTATTCATCCGAAACGAACGATTCGACGTTTAGTTCGAGAATGAAGAAGAGCGAAAGCGAGCCTGCGCCGTGCGAGCAGATACCTAATCAGAGCGGATCTTGCAATTCAAATGCCAATACGGACCGGTTGCGTAGGACGAGCCCGAGCCAATTCTCACTCTCGTGCGCAAACGATGGTACGGGGGTGGACGACGAAGACACGGAGAACACGTGGGTGAGAGTGAAGATGATCGACTTCACGCACGTCTTCCCGGGGGAGAATAACGATCTGGATCGAAACTACCGGGATGGCATCCACATGCTGATTCGACTCTTAAATCTGATAAAGAAGAGCGATTGCGTACATTAGATACTCCTTATTGAAGAATGTATTACTTGTGACGATGTTCCCGGAAGTGAACGGAGACGATTAGAGAAGATATAATTCAAGACAAGGCGACACAGATGTGGCGATGTGTCATCCACGTTTATCGGACCCCAGATATCGGGACGACACATCGGATGAGCATGATAAATCGATAAAGCGACAAGATCTCTGATCAGCAATCGTCAGAGAGGACACACTGCTCATCGTAGAAAGCTATCGCGATTAGCTCTTTGGAGAAAAGGAAATACTGATAGAAATGTAAAAGAAACATTTCGTATTGGCCGGAAAACTGCAATTGGAAAATTTTAACGGATTTTCTCTCAAAATCCGTCTGAATTTCAGGGTAGTAATTACTCAATATACAGTGCAGTACCGTGAGCCAGAACTCTTCCGCGTGATGATTTAAAAGATACAATGAGAGAAGCAGCCTAATCGGCCGATTAATTCTGAAACGGATTCCAAAAAAAAAATGTCTTCTCTAGGATAAAGTAATTAAGACTTTTATACTTTGCCAAAAGGATTGTAATGCGATGTACAGAATATCTAAGAATTTCGTACATTCGACCCATCGCGGTTGCTGTGTAGAAGATTTTACAAATTTAGAACTGGGCACAACAAGGGAAACAAGGGGGACGCCTCATTCTAAATGTCCGGCCACCGTTCGAGTGGTGGACTTTCATATTACGAGACGACAATAAAGTCGCACTTTGTAAAACACACACACACACACACACACACACACGCATGCCAGTACTGCGCGAGAAGTTCTTTAATGATACCATTATTAATTCTGCCATGTTACATATATTTATGTTACACGCATTACGTGATAAAAAGTGCAGATTGTAATTGTAACAGCAGCAATAAAACATTTACGATGTAAAGCGGGACGCGAGTATTTATTAATTTGAACATTCTATTAATATTCACAGATAGTAACGATGTGGAGTCTGCGGCGAAGCTCTTAGATATTATAAAATTAAAAAACATCAATGATATAATTCTTCAGCATCAATAAATGTAAATCTGATATAATTGGGGTCATACGATTAGTTTCCAAGGATCTCCGGTGATTATACTTTCATGATTTTATCATAAAATACTCACCGTCTCTCTCTCTCTTAATGACTATAAAATAACTGATTACCTTATCCGGCGACGGTTTTGTCGTTATTAATTATTTCTTTACAGCTGCTCTTTTTGTTCTCCGACTTGTCGCTGACGCAATAACAGGTAGACTCGTTGTCGTATAATATTTTATTCGCCATTCATTCGTAAACAGTTTTTACAGATCGTCAACGATCGGCGGGCGCGCCGTTGCGACGTGATCAACCGCGATAATAATTAATAATAATAATTTGCTTAATCTCTCGTATAACACTTATAGTAATACGCGCGCGCGTGCCTCTGTCGCACGCCTGACGTGTATGTATGTGTGTGCGTGTGTATAAATGTTTTATATCTCTTAGAATGCGCATACACACACACACACATACACGAGTGTACGCGCACCACACGCATGCATACACACACGCACACACACGTATATACATATATAGAATTGTTCATCTCGATCGCGCATTCGTTCTCTTCTCCGCTACGCCGTCCTTTAATTACGCTCGCTTCGCTAACGCTTTCTCGTTTCAATTTCGATAAGTGCTTTAATCGAGAGCTGATCGGAACACCATTTGGGATGGCACGCTGCACCATCTCGCTCGTCTAATAACTGGGTCGGCACTCTGGCTTCTTTGGAATTAAGTTGTTCAGCTTGAATTCCATTCCTATAGCTTTCGTTTCAGTTTCTCCCCCCCCCCTCTCCTCCCACCATATAGTTAGGGGCGACAAAGAGGCGATTAAAATTATCGAATTTTTACAGAAGCGGAATCGTAGGGATTTAGAATCCCGGAGAGACGCGAAGCTGCAAGCAGCTCTCTCCGTTACGAATCGCGACGGAAATCGCCGTTGAAAAATCAATCGAACGCACGACGGGATTATTTGCATTATGAAGCGCAATTTATAGTCGGGCGGCGACCGACCGTAATCAATTAAACAAATTATAATGTTCAATCGCGTGCCGGCATTCGCGAACAGTCGCCGCTCGTGTTTTCGCTGTTTTTCAGCTTCCTCCTCGCTTTCCCACCGGGGAGAGGACCCCTCGTTGATTATTAGTCGCGCTTAATTAAAACCGGGAACCGCGAGAACAACAACACGGGATAATAATATAAGTAGCCCTATATCACATAGTAAACGCAGGCGCAACAATAAATATTGCGATAAAAACGCATTAAATAGCTAAACGTGTGACGCAATAGTTTCGTAAGAAACCACGCGGTCTTGTTAGTTGTGTGTGTGTGTGTATGTGTGTAAGTGAGTGTGTGTGTGTGTGTGTGTACGATAAAATACGCATCATGCTAGGCTAATAATTGTTATACAGCGTAGTCGAAACATCTCTCTCTCTCTCATTCACACACACACACACACACACACACACATTCTCCCGCTCTCTAGGTATAATTACAAAGCGATTCGATCGAGAACGACGGCGACGTCGTTCGTAACGTTTCCGTCCGTCGCTATACGTATTCCCGCGTGTAATTCGGGCCAGACGAAGGAAACCGTGGTGAGAAGACAGATCGCTTCGCTACGAGGCAAATGGCAATAACAAACGAGGGATGCGACACGTCGCTCGACGAAAAATTCCCCTCCCCCCCTGCTGCCCACGCATTGATCATCCCCCAGCCCACCCCCTTTGCCGAGAACGTTCGCATCCTCGCCCGCGACAACGCGCTTCCCTTACTTACAATAATTAGTCTCGCTGCAAGATTACAGACTAACGATTAATTCGCCCATGATTACTTCAGTTTGCTTTTTATTAGCTGCTACTTTCATTTAGGTCGATATATTTAACGTATATAACTATTATATATATATATATATATATACATACACAGCAGGCATTCTTTCTTGTTATAGGTATTTACAGGTCGATCGACGCACCTTTTCTTTCTTCTACTCCCTATCTCTCATTCTCCCTCGCGTTTTCTTAGTTAGCGCATCTGCTTACTTTTCCTCCCCCTTGGTTTTTCCCTTTCCCCGCGAACCACTTTCGCGAATTTCCGCGCGGCGAAGGGGCGGGCCGTCCGTTATTAAATTAGTCATTAAATTAAAGTCGTTCCATCCCACCGACACGCCACGCGCCTTCAGTCTTATAAATTCCAATTACCTGCGGCTAATGGCACCGACAAAATTTTTCTAGGCGCCGGTGATGCCTTAATTAACTTCGCAACTCTATAAACTCGTCAACAATATAATTTTTATCGTATAACGAAATAATCGGCAATAATTCTAAAGCCCGGCTAACGGCTGTGTAATGGAGCTTGCGATTTGGAGATTAGCATTCAACCAATTAGACCGAAACAAATTAAAATTATCCAATTGGAGGGGGTCAAGCTCTAATCTCCAGATCGCAGTCCTTCAATCTCGTCAATGCGTAATTTAATACGGGCATAACGGCGCACGGAAATAATTGAGAGCGTTAATCGCGTAATGCACTGTCGTGTATCCGCCGCGACAGATCGACAGCACCCGTACGACGGGAGATCGGCGTCACGCGAAACGGATATCAGGGACGATCGGACGAGGTCGAAGACACACGGTCGGCATTGACGACGACGGACAAGGACGAGGAGTCGCGAGCGCGTGCACGATCTCGACTTCGCCGTCTAAATTCGCCCGACAAAAGGCCGGCTACGAAATTGAAGAATTACGACGGTAAGCCCGAACAATTGCCCGCCTGGCCCACGCTGAATTAGGCCGTCCTCGCCCGCCCGCCCGCGCGCGCAGGCCGGATTTCGATCTTATTAGCGTGTCTGAAAGGAAGGACCTCGGGCGGACAATGGCGCGTCCGATTGCCGAGAATGAATCGGACCTGTATTCGCGCGCGCGGACCGCCGCGTTGTTCATCGATTCAATGGATCGGCTAAGTGACCCAATTGCGAACGCTATACTTTAAAAGCGGATTCGTATTTTTGATAATTATGGACAGCTTGATGATGACGACCGTCGAGTATCCTCTTGCAAGAAGAGGATCTGAATCCCTTTCGCGCCGCGCAGTTTCCGCCTTATTTTTAGAGTCCGAAGAGAATAATATCCAATCGAGTTCGCGCGGAAGGATAATACAGATGGCAAAGTCGCGCGAAACCTTATCGCTGCCAACGTAATACTTCGCAGAGTCCCGGGAAGCGATGGATTAATAACTTACGAAGGGGAAGAGGGGGGGGGGGGAGATTGAAATAGAAAATGTGTTGACTATCTCGCGGATCTCTCTCTCAGAGAGAGAGATCCGCGGTCGCGCGAATCGTCGTACTAAAATTACCTAAAGCACATTTTACTCTTAATTTCGAACACACCCCGGGCCCCGCTCCTTCGCCCGCTGCTTCGCGCGCTCGGCGTGTTATCCTAACAGCGTGAAGTAAATGTTTACAAAACTGCTCGATATCTTCGGTGAGCTCGCGCTAAAACGTTAGAGGCGAGTATACGTACGGCGGATTAAAATTACAAAAGGAGAAGAAGGCTCTCTCTCTCGTTTCTTTTGCACTTTCTTACACACACACATACACACACACATACGCATCGCGTGCTAGAAATATACGTATAGCGAAAAAGCGCACCCGATTCCGCACCCCCTTATTCGGGGTGGGTGACCGCCGTGTCCCGGCTGCTCCTCCTCTCTCGTCGACGAGGAGCGACGACGCGACGCTACGGCCAGGGATATTCAGAAAGGCACTCGGCACCCCTCCACAAAGATCCGGAAATCAAATGTACAAAAAACGAATACGGCGTCGCCGAAGCGTCGCGAGTCGCGCGGCCACCCGCGCGTTCGGGAAAAGCGACGCGCGGCTCTCTCTCTTTCTCAAGTTGTCACTTCCAGCTTTACATCTACTTTCTTACGGTTCAACGCGAAGTCGATCGGGACGATATGGTGGGACGCGAGATGGGTACGCGACACCGCGCCACTTTTCGCTCGGAAAAGTCGAGAGAATCAAGAGAGAATTAATTTCTCTAATTGTATATCACTCAGTAAGAATAAATCCCTTTTTTCGATCGTCGTGTAACATTATTTAGGACAATTGAGCTCTAGTTAAAGTCGTCGATATTATGTGAGATCGCCGTTCACCGCGTAACATATTATACGAGTATAAAAATAACCATCGATTTTAAATGATATTATAATTAATGTGAATAACTGTGTGGAAAATGTCACGGTGTTGCAATTATCTCGGAGCTCTAAACCGTCGTTGATTGACCTAAAAAGCAAATCGCCGAGATTCGAGTGTAATGCCTCGTCGCGAGAACGTCAGCTTTTCGGGAATTTCCATCACGTGGAAACGATCCGCCTTTGCGTTTCCCTTCGACGAGTTAACGTGCGGGGTCTTGCGCGCGAAAGCGACGCGCGATAACGTCGTTTAATCTTAATCAGATACAGCTCGTGTTATTATTATCGAATCGTCTCAAATCCCTCAAATCAGAGGGGAGATCGACATAGATCTCAGCCGTAAGTCATGGAACACTTTGGGTGCTCAAAAAAGCAACATCGAAGATTCGACATCGGTACTCATGCGAATCGCGACCGTGGATCAGAGACGATGATGTCAACTTGAAACTGGCACCGAATTAATCTCGAAAAAAAATATATAAAAAAGTATGTACACGCAAGGCGTCACAAATGCTTACCCATCTGAACTTGCGGGATGCCGATCCATATATATATATATATATATATATGTATTATGTATATGTATATACAATATATAGTATATAAGTATATATGCATATATATGCATATATATAGGCATTAGTGACGCCTTTGTGTACATAAAAATTCGCAAAAGAAGAATGGCGAGATACGCGATGAGATATCTCAAATTAGAAATTCATACAAATGTCAAAGTATACAAATAAATAAAGATAAATTTAGCGTCTCGTTGTGATTACGCGATGCGGATATTGACGACCAAAAGTCGCGATAACACGGTCCGCGCTCTTGTTAATTGCGATTAATTCGTGCGTTAAAATTGTTCGTCAATGAGAGGAGAGATGGCTGATTCGATTTGGCACATTGTTTACACTTACAGTTAGCCAACATCATTGACGAGATTGCGAAAGTACGCATGACTCATTTCAATGACGGGGAAAAAAAAATTGTCACCGTGCGCGTTTAAGTATTGATCGAGCCTATTATATCAGCGCTGAATATTAATAGACTCCTTTTGAGGACACCTCTGCGTGTATGCAGGACGATATTAAATTCTGCGCCGCAACCTTTCGATGGGTTTAATATTGCTTATTGTCACGACACGTCAATCAATACGTTTCTAGATTGTCGCTATATACGTCGCGAGGCAAGATCTACAAAAAGTCTGTACTCTGTTGATTCAGTTTTCATTGCGAGCTAGAAATTACGTCGCGAGTCACGACTGAAAAATTCCATTCTCTCCAGCTCGCGATCGGCAATAAGATTAAAAAAGAAAATGTAAAGAAAGTGCATATAATTAATAACAAGATTTAATTTAATGCGATTAAAACGAGAGAAAAATGCATAACAGAAAAAAAAATGCATTAATAAAAAATAAAAAAAAAAATAAGAACGTATATTCCGGCGAATACGTCGTATCGGGTGATCCACGATCTCGAGACTGGTCGACACGAATGGCAAACTGGCATGCTTTACGTATTTTAGAATTCACGGCGATATCGCGATCCAATCTACTCGAGGACGCTTCGGCGGCAGCGGCAGAGAGCGAATTTCGAGAGCGTTTTTTCCTCTCTTTCTTCGATTTCGGCAAACTTGTCGCGCCGCGTTTAAGAAGGCCCCTTTTTCTACGAAGGTAAATGTGAAGGATTAATCACAGATGATACACGTACAAGCGCGCGCGGAGGGAAAACACGTAGCACGCTGTAGATACAGCACCCCGGAGATCTCGTTTTTCGTACCGAGTAGCGTGAAGCCGCAGCCGTCCCGAGTAAATCAGCTCTCGTATAGGTACAACTGACGTTGGCAGTTAACTTTCATATATAAGTGGTTATATCATATGATGTATCACATATGATAGATATATATATATGTATACATGTCATATCTTACATATACATATATATGTCATATACACATGTTGCATCCTTGCGTCAAAAGTGACACAATTAAAAAAAATTAAGTTTCCCCTTTTTGACGAGTGATAGGATAATATTACACTTAATTCATTCATATAGGAGTAATAATAACTCGAAAATTATCTTTTTTTTTTTTTAGTTGTTTCACGTTTGAAGCAAGGGTGCGATATCTGTGTAATATATATCACATATACATGTGTATATATAAATCTCTCTATATATATATATGGCATGCGTTATCGTCGACGGGTGATTACGTGGCCTCCCCTCGTTGCTTTCAATAATAATCTGCAGCGCACATCGACGTCCGCCGCAGATGAGGCCGACGTCGCCGGGCGAAATAGACATTTTTTCCTGCTTTATAAAAAAAAAAGAAAAAAACGAACGGGCACGCGAGATATACGAGGCACACTAACGTTGTTTGACCGATTGGCGCGAGAGTAGCGAATATCCTTTACGACTTCTGCGAGTCGCGAAGGAAGTGAACGTAAAATACTTTCGTTTCCATGTACATATGTACATGCTCTCATCTGGCATTCGGCACCAGCAACGTGACCGCGCGAGAGATCGAATCCGGTTCATAATTCAGCAGAGTGACCAGACTTTGCAAAAGGCAAGTTTCTAAAAAAAAATAAATAAATAAATAAAAAAGGATCTCTTATTTTTACAAACAGCAACCGACAGCGATAAAATTGAAAAAAAAAAAAAAAAAGAAAAAGAAACAGGACAAGTTAATTTCGGACTTATTGCAGGTGCCTTTGCGACGCTTTCGAACGAGTCGCGTGATTCTCTCCTGCATATGCGTTCTTGTCCTTGTATAATTAATGAAAGAAATTTAAACTCGAATATAAAGTAGGTAATATCCTTCGGGGAGCATTAAGCTAACACGATTGGTCATTCTGTATCCGACGGATCGAGCAACGTTTGGCGCTCGATGGCAGCTTTCCCTTTTTCTGTCCCTCTCCAGACCTCTTTCTTTCTTTCTGCCTCTGCGAATCTTCCGCGCAATTACAGTCTTTTTCTATAGGCCCCCGCGCCCAGCGAATCGTACGCTTTAACTCAAAACTAACAAAATGTGTACACCCGATGTAACAAAAGAGGAGATGACGCTCCTCGCGAAGCCATTTCTCAGAGTCGCGCGCGCGACACACTTTTCCCCTCTCGCGAAAGATAAACGGAGTCGGACAGCGGACTCGTCGACCTTCGGATCGGAAGTTTTGTCCTCCCTGGAGCCGGCGGATCGATGTGACGCTCTGCCGCGACTATCCTGCATTCTTATGTAATACTAACACTCGTCGACACGCGCGCGCGCGCGCGAGAGAGAGAGAGACAGTACGTTTGAAACGGAAACTTTTTCCCTCTTAGGCCTTGCATGCACATTTCCACGGCTCGTCTCTCCGTCGAGAGAGCTGCACGCGCGAGAGGACTCGGACTCGGGTGAGATAACGGGTGTACACTTGGCATTTCTAAACAGATGCGTCTCTACCCTTTTGGCTGGCGGCTTTTAATATTAATATCGCGCGCGATTCGCAGTTTCGAATATTATAATTTCTCTCGCGGCATTTGAGCAACGTTAGTTGCTCCAGTACCTCTCACTAATAAAGACTCCACCTTCGCGAAAAGATATATAAAATCTTGGATTTGGAACATTTACTAGGAAAAAAAAATGACATACACAGAATACTGACCTGCGTTCCTTGATTTAATCGCGGCGACAACGTTGTATTCTCCTCGATACTCTTCATGATCAGAACGGTTAATGTCTGTACTTGTTCCTTCAAGCAGAAAGCATAAATGCGCGCTGCGTAATCTCCAGCAAGATTACAAAACTTACGAAGGAGCTCCTCCTTCCCTGAATGTTATAACCTCTGGGAAGGACCATATATGCATCTTGAAAACGTTAATTTCGCGCTCTACCGAGGCAAGCGTCACGCGCTCCAGTTCCACACACGGTATCGATATCTGTGTGCGCAAAGATATAAAAAAAAGGAACTGGCGTTCCTGTCGAAAAAAACTGCACCTGAAAAACCTCGCGAGATTTATCATCGCGTTTTACAAGCGCGACGTCTCGGCTCGCCCATCGCTTCTTTCCGCTTTGCCGTACGCTCTTTTCTCTCTCTTTCCCTTTCTCCCCGTCGTATACTTTTACGAACCGCCCCTCTCTCTCTCACACACATACACACACATACATACATACATACACACACGCTCCACGCGCATCGATATATCACTGAGAACCGCGGCGTCCTTCCAGCGGGATCGCGGCAGGAACAGTTCGCTTCGCTGCCCAACACGCCACCGATAAATTATCAACGGCATCGCTTGTACGCGATTCCGGCGGGCGGAAGCTCGGCCCGTGAACCTCCTTACGAGGAAGTTACCGCTCATCGGCATTCACGCGCGCCGGAGGAAATATCCCGCGTGAAAAGCGGACAGGATCCGAGCCTGCTAACAATCCTCCGATCGCGAAACGGAAACTAGTTTAACTCTCCTTATCTATAACGCCGTCTACGTTGGCCGTGTGAAATCGCGATCGAAATCATATACTCTCTGTATGCCCCGTTGCAATGTGACCGATTAAGCGATAAACGATGCGCAGACGACGGCGAGGGCCACAGATGATAGCAAGATCGTCGATGATCCGCCGTGGTGCGGATCGTTCGGATGAGTCTTCATCGACGGGTCTGAAACGAAGAACGCAAATTCATTTCTTTGGCAGGTCAAGCATACACCCACACTCTCGTTTCAACGAAACGAGACAAGTGTTCCTTAGCAACTGCAGATAGATAAGAAAAGCAGTCTCATATCTATAGCTGCGTTACTTTAGAATCACTGCTTATATATACTTTCCCAATCCTATTGTCAATCGTATTGTTAATTTTCATCTCCTGTGTTTGCTCATTATTAAATTCGAGTCCCTTTTATTATTGGAATCCCTTCTATTGAAATGTGCTCGCGGACAATATTTGACGTGCGGCGCACGCGGAACGTATTTGATATTAAGGGAATTACATCGTATCGCGTCAGGATATTTCGCGCGTTATTTTGCAGCCGCGATTGCCTTCGGCAACATAATTAAATCGCATTAATTCCCGTTAACGCTCTTTCATGGAAAAAACAAAAAAAGAATGTTTTCTCTTTCCCTCCCCTTTTGTCGGGGTATATCCTCGGATAATACGCCATTCGATACGCGCCATAGAACCCTGGCCGGAGAACGAAGTCCTATCACTAATAACGACACACGATACGCGCCGTATACAGGATTCATCTGACAATGGAGTCTCCAGCCGGGAGTTGCCCGTGTACTGCAGACTATAGCATTATCGAAATGCAAATCAATGCGGACGCGTATACGCGGCCCGCGGGGATACGTTACCTGTCGTGGTGGGATCCATTCCGGAGCCGGAGCCCTCGTCGTCGTCGTCGCCGCCGCGATCGTGGCCGTCCTCGTCATCGTCGATCTCGCCCTTGCCGCGCCTCCAGGACGGGCTGTCCCCGCTGCCAGAGCCGTCCAGGGCCTCGTCCGCCAGGAAGACGTCGGGCCCGAAGTCGGACGCCAATTGCGACTGCACCACCTGTTCGCAGAACATCGACACACGATTCCCGTTTATCCATCGCGTGAAATTGTCGGACGTATAACCGATGGATTTGCCGCAACAGTGGGCTAACTCACATTTTTGTAAAAATGTAGAAAATGTCTAAGTCTAAAGTTAAAGTGATGGGAAAATACATCTGTTTCTATCAATATCACATATATTTGGCTATGTGGATTAACCAATTGTTGTGCAGCAAGCCCTCCAATTTGAAAGTACGTTATTTAAATATCCCAGATTAATTATGTTTAATTAAGAACGCGCTCGCATTCTATAATTGCTATTAATTGTTTCCTATATTGTCCAGAAATAGTATCATATATATTGTTAGAAATAAGACGCTCTTCGACGAGGCTTATAATTGCTATATCAACCGCTCGGTGAAATGCCGCTCGTTATGAGAGCAAGGTGGCTACAAATTACAACTTGGCTATACACGAGGGTAATTCGAATCGTCGAGCAAGTGTGGAGGTAGCGCATAATTTTCCGAAATTAATGGCTATTATGTCAGTCCCTCGTCGGAAAAGTCGCGCGAGAGCGCTCGCTCGGCAACCGCCGCAACGTCGGCCGCGTGATCGCGTGGAGATGATAGGGATTAGCTTTGTCATTGGTAACTCATTAGGCTGTCCCATTTACCCAAAGATCTCAATTAACCCACTTGACCCCACAACGATATAAGCAGCGTGTCCAATTAATCGCCAACACGCTCATCACTCCTCTCCTTGTCGCATCGCGCGGAATACAACGGGCGAGACGTGCATGGATTTATGCAGCTCACGCTAAAATCGGTTGCGCCGACGGAGGCCAACCTTTAATCTCGCGCTCTCCCCCCCCCCCTTCGAGCACGTAATCATTACTTAATGCTCACACCTGCCAATAATACCTCGAGTCCCACTATTCATCGCGGTTTCGCGATCTGTGCCCCGTGTGTATCGATACCCCGCGCGCCGCCTCGATCGCGCGATTACGTCGACGTCGTATACGCGGTGTATATTTGAACGACCGTTTCGCAATCTCCGAACGTGGAATTCCGAGCGAATTTTTTCGTCGACAAAGATCTCGTTTCGCGTGTTACGGAATTACGTGGCGCAAATTAACGAAGTTACTCGGACGAGCCGTTTGTCGGAGAGTTAGCTCGACGCTCGTATATAATACACGCTCGGGCGGCTAGCTCGATCACGGACACTGTGTATACACCGCGCGTATATGCGTGTCTCACGATACTCTAATCAGAAGTAAGCGGCCCGATTTCCTCGGCACGCGAATTAACATGCGTGTGGACACTATGCGTGTGCCCCACACGCGGCGGTTGCCAACTTTAATGACGCCGCAAACACCGCGCGAGAATACGTAGCGGCGAAGAGCCGCTACTATACGTATACACTGAACGACGTAATCGAACTAATTTAGAAATTGAGAAGCTTAATTTACTTAGAAATCTAGCCTCACTCTCAGTTTATAGCTCTCCCCCGAAATGTTTGTAATTTTATCTACTTTATATACATGTAGTTTATTTAATATTATAAATTTAAAGTCCAATTGGCAGAAATGCTGTGGTATCTAAAAATTTAGGTAGAGATACAGATCTGAAAATAATTTTGTTGGATCAGCAAAATAATTACGCAGAAAATACAAGCATTATGAGAAATGCTGCAAAAAGTTTTAACATTCCAGCTGGCATTCCAGCAACCAGCTCGAACCTCGTCCTAATTATTTTGATGATCCAACAGAATTATTTTCAGTTCTGTAACTATAACTGAATTTTTATAGATACTTCAGCAAAACCGTTCTTTCCTAGTAGAGGTATTGGCGCGACGGCAACGAGTCGAATGCGTATAATAATTTTCTAAAATTAATCGTCATAAAACATATTAATTGACATAATTAATATAATTTATCTCTTGCAACATAATTATTTAATAGAAATTCTCTCTCGACGCGCGTTTGTACTCTTTGTATATCGAACGGGTTTGAGCACCCACGTGCGCTTTCAGGTGAAATCCGTCCACGCAACGCGACACGTGCCACGACACACCGTCTGTGCGCGCGATCCCGCGGCTCTATGAATAATTCCAGATTAGACGAGAATTTATGATTCGTCTGGTACGCCCGTCTGGTAGACACGGGTCACCGGGCGGGCTTTCCACACCAGCGAGCTATCGCGATAACAGTTTACGAATCGCGACAAATCGCGTCGGCCGATGAGAGATCTGCGAGCCGACGCGGAAGCGAGGGGACACGAATCTCTAATGAGCCCATGCAGTGCTAAACCGGCTCGGGCTTTTAATGAAATTCCGAAATAGCAGTTAAATAATTTTATCTAATTATTACTTTACACATAAAGGTGAAATTTTATGTACATGTATACACATAAAATTATAATAATTATCATGTTTAAATTATATTTAAATACATTTGATTTATTATTAATTGTATATACACATATATATTATGATATTCGGATCTGCATATACGAAATCGAATCTGCGAAAGGAATTTTTCATTCTGCCGCGAATCTCAAAGAGGGGAGAACGTGACTCTTTTGCTCTCCTAAGCTTCAATCATCGAGGACTCCACGTCCGACGGGAGTCGGCCGCCTGTTGTTCGTCGCACGGCGTTTGAATCGGTGAGCGAATGAAAATCGCGGCACGATTTAATCCGAGGGAGAGGAATCCACTTAAGACCTCGGCGACGAAATTACGACTCTACGTACTCACCTGATTAATGTGCCTCAATTGGTCAATGAGCGCGCTGGTGTTCGAATTGCTGGGGTAGGAGGTGGCCGGCGTCGACGACATCGTTATCGTGAATTCAGGATTGTATCTCTGAGCGTTCGGACTGGAGTCCACCACGGTTTTCGTGTACCTGAAACAAAATTGAAAAAGAAATGCGATCGTATAGAATATCGAACTTTCGTGAAATTACGTCGTGTACAGATAAATAAATAATTCTGTGAAATAAGAAATAAATAAAAATCACGCAATAAGATATTGAAACGATCTCTATTGTACACTGAGAGAATTTTCTTTTGAAATTTAACTTGAAAATCATGTTGATCATGGGACAATATAGTATTTTGACAAATTTTATGTTTCATTTCATGATTTTCTCTGTTTTTTTACTGTGCACTACAATAAATTTGTTGTAGTATATATTTAAAAAAATAGTGAAAATCACACAAAATTCGTTGAAATATTATGTTGTCCCACGATTAACATGAATTTCCGAGTAAATTAAAAAAAATTCTCTCCGTGTAACAGAAAAAAACACGAACGTAACATTTACAACGGAATACAGAATTAACAAATTCAGAAAAGGAATACTGAAGATGTTATGAAATGATGTGATAATCTCAAGCTGTTTGTATAGACTTGACTGTGAAAACTCGAATACGCGCCGTGGCGTTTAAACACAATGATTGGACAGTTATGAATAGAATAGCACCGAGTGAGCATTTCTTCCGCGAGCCCCGACGCGAGCGGAGCCTGAGGTTGCGTAAATCGCTAGCGGTTGCTTCGATATCGCGCACGGCTTCTATCTTCCCGTATTACGATAAGCTCTCGCCTCTCTCTCTCTGTCTCTCTCTCTCTCCGAGATGCCAATGCACTCCAACATGCCGTCCAAATGAATCTGCAGTGCACCAGGCAGGTGGATAGAGGCTGCTGCATATATTCATTAGAATCCTTAATGAGGCGCGATATCAGCCGTGCTTCGAATGGCTAAATTACGCAGCCGAAAAAAGATGTAACTGACGTTCTCTCGATTCGCTAGACTCTTTTTTTGCCTGTCTCAGGAGACACGCGGAATTTCCGAAACCAGTCTCGTTTCCCCCTCCCTCCTCCAACCGTTCTGTTAAACATGAAAATTAGAAATCGATTCTCGCGCACGCCGTAATCTCGGCGCGTTCCGCAATCCGCTTTGTTTGATATTTCGCAGAAGTGCGACGCGAGCGAAGTCGATCCCGGCGCTCGTGCGCGTACGTGCGTGCGTGCATCCAGCATGCAGCGCATTCACATCCGAGCGCGCGCGGTTATCTTCCGCGCGCTTCTATCTTCTGCTCCGGGGTGCTGACCGACAAAAGAGACAAATCGCGTCGTGCCGCTTCGCGGAATACGCCTTCCGCTTTTCGATCGCCACGCGATTACAGCGCCTGGCGAATCAATGAACCGGGAACAAATATATGTGTATCCGCGAATAGTCCAGAAGTCGACGATACTTCGCCGGGGCTTTGCCAGAGAGAGAAACAGAGAGAGAAAGAGAGAGAGAGAAAGCGCGAGAGAGCGGCCGTTACTCATATTACATTGTTTTCTCTCTTTCGCTAAATTATTGCGACAGATGCTATATGACCATCGTAAAGTATGCGATACAAGACAACATATCTAGATACTGATAATCTCGAAGTGAAAGCCATCACTATCTCAAATCTTAACGCACAGAAAAAAAATTTAGATAAAGATAAATATTTTTACAGATAAGCAAGAATATTATAATTTTCATATAGAAGATTTTTAGTCTTGAAGTGACTAAAGTAATAAAACTTTGAGCAACACATTCAAGATTCAAATTAAGACTAAAATCTTCTAAGAAGATTATATGTATATAATATTCTTGCTTATATATACGAAAATATCTTTCTTTTCTAGGTATATGTGATAATTAATTTGCCGTAATTTATTAATCTATACGAAATAAACGTAATTATTAAAAAATAATGGCAACTAACGCGTTTACGTTATACTCTTGCAATTTTTATCATTATATTTATCGTCAGCATTGGCTTTTATACAAATTTCTAATTTTTATTCTCCCTATATACATCCCATGTCCAAAGGTCTCAATTTCTTCGCTTGATCTACTACCTCCCTTTCCACTATTATTCCCACTATTCGTATGAAAAATATTACATCGCCAAACAGGCGTACCGAAGTATCCAGCGTAGCAAGATGGCTCGATAGCGAATTGAAATATCGCCGAAGTCGTGGGGCCGAGTCTTCTTCTCGGTGCTCCTGAATACCGGCCATTCACGGAACGACCTCCTTCGAGAGGGCTCGTCCTTCACATCCCCCTCATCCCTTCACGACCCCCCTCGCGCACATGTCGCGCTTCTCAGTTCTCCCCGGCGTCTTCCCAGCGCGATTTTCCCCCCTGCGAACTTTTCCACCGCTCCTTTTCCGCTAAATCGCACCCTGCGGCATCTATCTCGAGTCATATCTTCTTTTAAAGCACTATATAACGTGCGTAAAGTTTCCTTTACGAACTTCGTCCTGACGGGTCGCGAATTTTGATACGCGCGAAACTCGAGGATTATAATTTTACGGTACTTTAAAAATTATTAGCATACACCCGTTAGGAGAGAGAGAGAGAGAGAAAGAGAGAAAAGAAGAGAAAGAGAGAGGGAAAGGCTAAGAGACGAGATGTAGTGCCTTTACTTAATTTCTTTCGCACCCCACCTGTCGCTCCTTTCTCTCGCTCGAGTACCTCTTCATCCCTAACACGAGTACAATCCGCACCGATCTCGTCAAGCGGGGAAACGAAGACCGGGTGAAACGAGCCGACAAAAACTGGTTCTCGCGGCGATCGAACGCGAAAACTCTGATCCGAATGAAAACGGCGCGTTTCCACCTCGCTGCGTATTATCATAGCGTATACGGAGCACTTGATCGTTGCCGTTGCGACCAAAGAGCGCGGATAAAAAAAAAAGGAAAAAGAGATAAAACGTGTAAAAGGAATAAAATGTAATTCCTGCGTCCCCGGGGGAAGTATAATATTATTTCGGTCCGAGAGCCCGTTTCTTCTCGGGAACAGCTATAGTTTCGTTTTCTCCTCGGTAACAAACTCGGACGGGCGCGATCGACGCTTTTGTAATTAAAGCTCGGGTTAAATTTCCGTTTAAGTAAAGTTACGCTCGAAACTGAATAAAGGATGGCGGGTAAATTCGCGAAAGGTTTGACTTTCAGTAGCTCGTAACTCGACAGCGCGCTATTTCGACCTCCTTCCCACCCCTCCCCACGCCTAACTCTCCCGTCTCTCGCGGGAGGTATGCCCGCTGCAAAATTGGTCAAAGAATCCGCGAATGAAAGAGAGGATGAGGGACGCGGCGAATGCGGGTGGCGGGGAGACGCGTCGGCCTTTATCTCGCCGCATTATAGGTGGTGGGTTCCAGCTGGAGCATGTACGCGCGCATCGATCTCTCCAACGCCGAGAGAGATGAAACGTGCTTTGGGGCAGATTAATATTTCAATGCCGAGAAAGAGCGCCGTGAGACGCCGCCATTATTCCGCGAATTCCTCCCGAAAGCAAGGTGCGAGTATTGTACCCCGTATCATCCCGCGCGAAATAGGGCATCGGTTTGGTTTCCACCCTAAATACGAAAGTCGGTAAACCCCCCTAGGGCCACATTTTGTCATTTTCGAGGAAGGCGGTAGGCTTAACGTTGTATCTTAAATAATACTGAGCTATCCTCTGCGTAAATTCGTTACACTGGGACGCGATAAATGTGAATTCGGTTCGGAAAAAAAGTTTTCGCTATAGAAAAAAAGTTTTCACCGCATAAAATATTAAATTGTGATATATGTGTTTTTAAATGGCCATTAAATCTAGATACAGTTTCAATATTTTATATAATAAAGTAGTTACGAATCACAGAGTTATGCTGACATATTTATAATTAAAACACATAATTGATGCAATTGATATTTTATGTATCTCGGAGAGAAACGATTATCGCGCAAATTTTTTTCCGACAGGCCATCACAGTGTCGATTTATATAGGAAGCGGCGTTCATATAGATAACATTGGAATTCGGAATAACGACGGCCCGTCCTCGCTGAATTGCGTTTGTGTCGAGGAATCCGGCAACGCGATCGAAATAGCCATTTTAGAGAAGGCATCCAATCAAGATAAAATTGCCGTATCGGCGGGGCAGCTTCGTTTTAGAATCGCTTTTAATCAAAGTCATTTCGCTGCGAGGAGAGAGAAGCGCTTCTATAATTGAGCGGATGAACGACAAGAAGTTCGCTCGATTATCGCGGCGGTCCGTTGATCACATTGAAGCGCTAAACGCAACTAAATTAATCGCGGCTAGTCTCCTTAATGGCCGGATACAGCGTGTTCTCACGATTGTTAGAAGATACCGATCGTCCGTCGTGGAAAGCGAACGACAATTCGGCAGGAACAAAAACCGGACGTCGCGGCTGAGAGAACAACGATTATTATTTAGAGCTTAACGAACGCCTCTCGTTAATGAAAAAAAAAAAAATTAATCACAAGATTGCAATTAAAACGGTATGAATACCGCGTCAGTCTCATATTAAACTCATCAAATTTGCATCACAATTGATTCTAAGAAAAAAAAAATTAAAATTCAAAGCAATAATTTAATTCAATACTATAATCTACGTGATCTTAAACTTTTAAAGTATTTAATCAATTTAATCTCAGCCCGGTATTAAATTTAATTATTAAAAATTTTTAATTTTTATTTTCTACCGATCGACCAAGACCGCTTGCGAGCGCGCGCGTGCGTTTATCTTTGAAGCCCGATCTTCGGCTTCAACGTCTTTAAAAGGCGCATTTTTACTAATGCCCTTCGCGCGACAAATGGACCGAGCCAGGGCTCTCTTCTATGAATGACTCGCTATTCAACGTCGCTAGAACATTGATGTTCCAGCAGATGCTATCTCTCGGAAATGTCTCGATACACGTATATATATATATGTGCGGCATCATCCAGTCGCGCGCGAATGCATTATTTATAACATATATCGTCCGCGCAATTCGTTCCCATTCGAACGGCGTATCGGATAAGCGTATGCTAATATATCGTCCGCGCTGTTCGACGTCAACCGAGCGTGTCGATGAAGCTGCAGCTAAATTAGAAGAATGATCGGTACCGCGATATATACGCCGCGATTCGTATATATGATGACGCACCGCGCGCGCGTTCTTTATAAAGTTCTCTCACAATCAGTATTACCTACGCATACTTATATCTTTGATTTATGTACACTTGTATTTCTTTTAGATTTATGTTAGATAAATGCATAATTTCCTGATGCATTTAACATAAGCTCTTCTATTAAGGTAAGCTATTCTACTCGCATATATACGGAAGCCGCGCGGGTTAAGCGAAAACCACGTTTCGAAAAGGGAGCGAAAATTGATACAGAGCTCTCGTGTAATTTTATCTGACGGTAATTAGTCGACTTAACGACTAATGGACCCCGTGCTAACTCCTCAAGTATTCTGGAGCAAAATGAAATAAAAGTTTAAAACGCGCGGCGCCGCTTTCGGGGCTTTCCGCTTGTGTGCTTACGCTTGCGCCCGCCTCGATTTAATTACGGAGTTCTACCCGCGGTAAAGTATGTTTTACCTGGATTCTTTTTCTCGCAAACGTTATACATTCGGGCCCTTTGTGCCCGTAATTCGCATAACGCACGCTCCAATTATTCCCGAGAGGCACTCGCGCTTGTTTGTCAGCGATCTCTCGCCTCGCGGCAGGACGAGGTAGATCGATGAATATGCGCGTGAGCGCTCGGCGCATCGTCATCGCGTTACGCGCGTCGCGAAGGTGTCGGGATTCGCGACGTCGGCGCGTATACATACACGCATCCGCCGTCAACGCGCGTCGTCGTCTTCCATCCGTGATCGTCGCCCGTCGTCGATGATCCGAGTCATCGTCGGAGAACTCGCCTTCCGAAGCGGGTACGTGATCGCCGAGCGCGGTGGCCGGCCCTCGCGCTCGGCGCAACGCGAAACGAAGCGCCTCTCCAGCCGTATCGGACGCAGACGATATACGGTTTCAGCACGCGATTTAGATATCAGATTCCGCGGTTCATCATGACGATCGAACCGCGGAGTGCCCGTGCGTGTCGCCGGACGGGATTAATCGGGAATTACTCTGAGCGTTTAGAGCGAGCGCGCGCGACGCGGGTATTAACGATGACGTATTGAATTATCGATGGCCATGCCATTCGGAATTGGACGCGGAACGTTATTTTGAAAGTAAATGGAAAACTGATATGTCACTATACCGATGTTACATCCGTGTATTTTGAATAAACAAGAACTAATGGCACACTTTTGCAACGCACGTGTGTGAGCTTTATTTTTCTTTAACACACATTAAAAGTACCGTCTGGTGATATTGCTGACTGTTTCTATTTTTTTAGATTAATATTATATTTCTTGTGTAAAAGACAGGATTCGGAATTCTTTTGACTTTTCAATAATGATGTCCTTTACACGAATGAAATATTTGAGATTTTTCATCACCTTCTTTATTCTCATAGTATAATAATTTATTCGCTTGCTTCCTTTTGCTGACAATTAGTACAAAATGGTACTTTTATAAGTTAAATACAGTCTTGCGAAAGAATTTTAGAAGAGAATTCTTCAACCGTGGACATTGTTTAACAACGGTTCCGTAATTAACGTCCGCGCCGGCGAGACCGGGGCTGGCAAGGATCAATCCCCGCGAGATGGAAGAGGCGAGCGCCGTATCGGCTCGAGCGCGAGAAGAGCGACGAGCGAAGCGGCGAGAAATAGCAGCCGCGGATGATCTTGCGACATCGTGACCTCGTGGTTGAGATGTTTGGCTGCGTCTCGTCCGTCTGTCCGTCTGTCCGTCCATCCGTCCGGCGGTCGGTCGGTCGGTCGGCGCATCGGCTTGCGGACCCGCCGCACATTACGCCGCACACGTACGTAACACATGGGCGCACACATTACCCACGTTATCCGCATGTATACGTGTCGCACCCACACGCGCGCCGTCAGGTACCGGGCGACGCTGCGGCGCCCGTTTGCTCTCGTTGCCAGACTCTTTGGCGGCCTGGCGTCCCACAGGCTACGCGCTGCCATCTCTTCCTCCCTCCCCCCTCTCGCCACCTAACCCCGCCGTCTCTCACCTTCTCAACACGTCATCTTCCTCTTCCTCCTCGCAATCTTCGATCTCTCCCATTCTCTCTCTTTCTCTCTCTCTCTCTCTCTCTCTCTCTCTCTCTCTCTCTTGCCATTCCACGACTAGTCCCCCTCTTTTTCGCGCCGTTATCCAACGACGTCGTCGTCGCCGATGTCCGAGAGTGGCATTGAAGAAGTCACATCTTTCTTTTTTCAGCTCCCATCCCCCCCGCCCTCTTCCTCCGCGAAACCTTCTAGACGAAGAGGCTACTGTAGCCGCTATTATCGATGCTTACTGTATCACGTAGAAGATTTTCGTCGCTCGATAAAAACGTTACGTCCGAATCGCGGCGTAACGGTTAGTGAGCCTCGTCTGATTTCACATAGTTGAGCATTCATTTTTAACGGTGCCGTCATACGCACGCGATCTAATTCTGTCAATTAAATAAACAAATCGCACACGCTCCCCGACGTACTCCATCGTATCCATTTTTAAACGGAATTAAGCCGGACCGCCCGGAGATTCGTTAGACGAGAGAGCGTCAGAGCGCGCGCCAGACCGTGTACAGGGAAAGGGTCCGGCCGTTTAATTAATTTAATTTACCCGCGCAATATATCCGAAATTAATTAAATTCGCTACCAGGTAGCATAAATTATTTTCGGAAAACCCTGCAGTCGCCCGCGTGAAGAGGGACGCGCCTGCCTTTCAATCAACCCCCGCGCCGCGTGCGAATCGAATTACCGGAGTTGGCGAGCGCGAGCGCTCAATCGCGAGGGGGAGAGCCCGAGCGGTTTCACTTCCCGCTGCGGGATCGAATCGTGCGGAATCCACGACGGCTTCCTCGACGGATCGAATCTCATTTAGATTTCCACGGCGAGATACTATATACCCGTGTACCGCCCGCGAGAGAGGCAACGCGCGGGCGAGACAGAGGCGAGAGAGAGGGCGAGAGAGACAGCCGAGCAAGAGACAGCTCTTCCGGTGGAAGCCGTGGCACGCGAACGGCGCGTGTATGTGTGTGTGTGTGTGTATATTTATATGCACACGTGTAAGCGCATCCGTGCGCGTATTACGAGCGGTGACCGCGCGGAACTCCGCGTCGCGTCGGCTCGGGTAAACCTCGGGATTTCAAGAGATTTAACGGCCGCGTCTGCCGAGAATACGTTATCGGCGGTCCTGCGCTCGTCTCGCGATGCCGAGGGAGCAATGCGCGGCAGTAACCGAGAGAGGGAGGGCGGAAGGAAAGGAGGGAGGAAGGGAAACTCGCGCTGCCGCCGTAAAATCGCATCCCACATGCGGGATTCCGCCGCGTACCTCGCGCGCGTGACGTTTACACGGAATCCGCCCGGGCGGAATACAAAGAGAGGTAAGATACCCGCGCGAAGGGAACAATTGAAGAGTACATCTTTGACGGTAGGAAGGGGAGGTCGTGCGCTATGTTTTGCTGAAAACTTCATTCCGCACAGGGATTCCGTTACGCATGTTATACATGTAATCCGCGACCGCGCAACCAGCACACGCTCGAGGTGTCGAATTAACGAATCGCGCTTCGGGCGTATTAATTGGCGTATTCAGATATATTTCCCTCATCGCGATATACGGAAATCTCATTTAGGCGTTCACACAGCTTACGCTTCTCAACTCTCGCCGTTCGATTATCCTCCGAATTATCTCCCGCGCGATCGGTTATACATATATTATCGCCGGGCCGAGTCCGAAACTCGTTTTCTCTCTCTCTCTCTCTCTCTCTCTTTCTCTCTCTCGCTCGCTTCGACGAGATAGTCTCATTTCACGGTCGGGTAGCAGCATCTCATGCGGCTGCGGACAATGGTTGATAAAGGCAAGAGAGGCACTCGCGTCTCCTCTCTCGGGTCGCCGATATCGGCCGACTACCGTCGCCGTTTCGTCGCCGACGACGACGACGGTTAATTAAGTGGCGGGTATAGCGCGCCTCGATCGAGCGGACGATCGAGTGGCACGTTATCGAAGACGCGAGAAGACGGTATAATTCGGGCGCGTGAACGATCGGCTAGCCTCTGCGGTCTGTCCACCACCAAGCGGGGTGTCGCGTGTGTGAGATCCACGTGGGGCGGGCAGGGGAAGAGGAGACGAGCGGACCGCGCCGGTGTGAGGGCATCTTAAGGCGAGGCCACCCGGCCTCGTTGATTAATAAGGGTGCGAGAGAGCTACCTTCGCGTTCCATTCTCCCGCGCCCTCCTCGCCCGTGTGTGCCCCGATCTTTCGCGCTCCACGATTCGTTCCCACGAAAGCGCATTCCGCGCGCGGCGGCGACTCTCTCTCGGATTTTGAGCGACGGCTCAGTTTCGATTAGCGAATCGCGTGTGCGTCTGTTAACCCTTCGCGCGCGCCCCATTTATTCCGCCCCGGCATTCATTCGGCGTGGAGAGGAGCGGCCCGAACGAACGGTTGAAAACCATTTTTCTTTTGTTACGGTAACAGCCCCCCCTCCCCCCTTCCTCTGTCTGACACGATAACGCGTTTGGAGCGAACTTATATATTTACTCAGTGTATTATATGTACACGTGACGTCGAAGAAATGAATTGTTGTCGATGATTTAGCAAGACCCCGTGTCGATTAATCTCATCTCTTTCGACGCTTGGATCCTCTTTGCGTCGAAAGGGGAAAACATATCGATGGTCTACATTTTACGGAAAAATTACGACGAAGAAAAGAGAGAAGAGAACTATCGAAAGTGTAATACTCACTCGCCGACGCGTTCGCCGTTCCAGCAATGCTTGTCGGAGTACTCCTCGCAGATCACGTCTGCCAGCGTGGCGTAGAAGAAGCGGGACCTGAGGACGCTCGCCAGGAAGTTAACCAGCTGCTTTTGCAACTTGTTCAGCAGGTCGTCTTGCGCGTGAGACGGTAACAGCGACGCAGCTGCGTGCACCTCGCCGGCGGACGACGCGGACGATTTCGCAGCTGCGGCCGAGGACACTGGGCTTTTCCCGTCGTCGAGCGGCAGCAGCTCCGAACGGCCGCACACCCTTCTCACCTGGAAAAAAAGGCATCGATCCCGCTGGTAATTATATACACACATATATATATATAATAGATAAAAATAAAGAGAGAAAATTTTTTTCGAGACGGGGAAACTATAGCTATGTATAGATCAGACACGTATATAGATCAGGTAATGGTATCTGGATTATAAACGACGTGAGAAGGACGTGTGGGTATTTCCAATTATCGAAAATACGATTTGTACGGAAGGGAACGAATGTAAACGTTAATGGCATGACAAATGGTTAATGGCCTTCTCTTTTTTTTTTGTTAACCAAGAGAGAAATCGACTCAAACTCGAATGAGAGGGACACCCTGTATATCGATGCCGCTGCTGCACCTGGCCGCAAATGCTACGGTAAACGCGACGCAAGCATAAAAGATCGGCACCGTACAAGAGCCTTTTGCCAGGCTTATATGTCGGCGCGGCTTGGTTGGAAAGTGTCGCCTGGGCGAAACGACTTGTTCCCGTTCGCGAACGCGACGTCAATTTCTCGACGATTTAATAGGCGACGCGCCCTGACAGTTTTTACACTCGGCCGCGCGTCACGCCACGTTTCGGCGCGTTCACGCGTTAATCAAGGCATACACGCCGTCATAAACGTGTATATATACACGCTCGCGCGTGTACGCGAGCGCACGGAGCGTATAAGCGTCTCGTCGCCAAAGAATGATAATATTTTCCGCAAAAGCGCCGATGTGGCTGGACTTTTTCCGAGTGGCCACATATATTTTTCCAGAGCGCAGCGAAACACGTGAAACATTATGACAGCTGATGATGATATTTTTACAGCGCGTTACTCGGGGATTTTGCAAGACTTCCCGGGAAAATAGTACGACCGCGGTGTCTTTTTATAGCGTAATGTTCTGTCTGAGATGTCCAGAGCTCCGAAACGTGGCGTTGCCAAAAGCGCAACTTTTCTCTCATCTTCTTCTGCACGCCAGCCACGTGTATACGTACATACGTACGTGTGTGCGCGCGCGCACGAGAACCCGGAGGTAATCTAAGGCGCATTCACAACGATCACGTACAGGAACTCGCGATATTTCAACCGGCTTAAGTTGTAAATTGCTATTTATGGATCACGTAGAGGGTTCTACAAACGCAATCACGCAATCGCGAAATTATCGAATCGCACGCCGTACCACGGGCGAGCGAGAAATAATTTCTTTTACCGATTTCATTTCACCGATCGAGTGGGAAATTTACAACAGAGGTCGATCTCCACACGTCGCGTACTCCAAAGTTTTACAACATTTTCCACGCGTCGTCGTGCAACTCGATCGCCAAGATAAAAGCGTTTTCACTCAGAGCGAAAGTTTTACGCCGCTGTATCAACAAGAAGAAAAATATTATCGCTCGAATCGATAAAAAGAGTTTCGCCTTTTGTTTGAAATGTCCGTTCGCCGATGCGAATTTGCGGGAAACGATTTTGTAAAAACACGCCTTTCCACTCCATTTTGCTCTTTTATTTTGCCGATCTATACTTGAAATGAAATTCTTTTACTTTTCAGAATTTTATGTGCCACATGACGGGACTCGAGTCGGTATTTTTTTACAGGCGAGAATGTCCTCCCGGAGAATCGATTCGCGATAAGAAATATCACGGCCGTTCGATTTTAATTATCTTCATAAATGTGTTTTATATTGCCGGGCGGCAAAACGGAGAGATTTCGAGAATCTTTTAAATTCCTTTCTGACGTAAAAATACATTTTATCGCCTCCTAGTTATATCATCACCACAATCTCATATATTATACCAAGCATATAATTCCGTTTTCGTTTTTATCGCCTCCGATTATTCATCATTATCAATCTCGTCGATCAACATATAACAAGCACGTAATTTCCTTTTAATAGATGCGAGCCTTTTCGAGATCTTCCGTTATCGTCATTATCAATCTCATCAATCAGCATTTAACTACTGCTCGATTTAATATCATACCGCAGTTTCTTTAACTTCTCGCACTGACCGCAATGTTGCGCTACAAATAAGAACTTCGCGAGTGCTTCACCTGAGAGAGACTTTCTCTAATCGCGGCGACAGTTACCTAGCGAATTAAGATCGCTTTTGTAATTTTTATTGTCGCGCACGACAGACGAGGGAGCCTCCCTTATCGTCAACCGAGATCGCGACACACGAGTCAAGAGCGCGTTTATCGCACCTTATCAACGCCGCGCCGCGCCGCGCCGCGCCGTTTATACAATAGTCATTAAGATTATCGTTGACATCTCTCCCGCGACGGGTCCCGCGCCGCCTTTCTGTCCTAATTACTTTTTAACGCGGTCCATAAAAGGCGCCCGGGCACCGACGGTGCTACACGGTGTGGTTGCTCTACGGGCTCTTCGAGGCGGCATAATCGTAAAACCGGCCGGCCAAGCGTAATTAAGACGGCACGCGTGGGCGTTCAAACGTCGCTCGCTCTCTCGTCTCTTCTCGATTTCTCATTTTTTCCCCCCTTTCTCTCCCTCTCTGTCTCACGCCTCCTCTTTCCGAGAGAAAGAAAATGAGAGAGAGAGAGAGAGAGAGAGAGACTCCTCCATCCTTTCTTCCCGCGTGCCTGTCTTCGTTCTCTGCTCGAGCGAAGTGGACGAAACACGTATGAGGCGAGTTCGGAATGCCGCGCATCTACCGTGAGAAGGCTCCAATCGAGCATAACGTTGTCCCACTGCGGTTCTGCAAACGTGCGATTCTCGCATATTACGCTTCGTAATATAATTAGAAACTGTCCAGAGCAATAAATTGACAGAGCGAATTGCGTTGATCATGATGTTGACTGATATGTCGTCGAGCTAAATAGTAGCTTTTTATAAGAAATAAAGATATCTCAATGATTTCTTATTGATTTAAAAAAATTTAAAAAAAAAGAAGATATCAGCCGGCAATTCTAAAGTGCAGTTATGCAGATAAGATTGGCATTTAAAGCGGATCTGCGTTATAACTGATTTAAATCGTTTAACTTGATGGTTTAATGACTTCTCTTTCATCGCTTCTTATTCGTCGCAGGAAGAGAAACAGATAAGGATGTTGCATTTTTCTTAGCAAAGTAGTTAAATGCACTATAGGCAAATTATATTAACTAATCTAAAAAAAGATATATTGAGAAGAAAAAATCGAATAAATAATAATAAAACAATCTGACTTTATATAACTTCATATCTTAAAAGAAGATATATATGCATATATCAGTTAGAAGAAGATGTGTACATTAAAAAAAAAAAATAATACAACGCGCGCGATTTTACGGAAGCACTACTCGTGAATTCCCGCAGAAATCTCTGTAACTCCAAAAGAACCCTCCTACAAACGCCTGTGACGTAATCTCCGCCGGCGTAATTGCATCGCTCGAGATATGACGTAATCGCGAGAAACAAGGATTATATTTGTCGAAAAGGGGCAGATACAAATGGTCCGATAAGCGTGCGCATTGCAAAAGAAATAAGACGAGGAGAAGGAAAGGGAAAGAGAGCCGAATTGTAACCAGGCGAATGACACTATCAGCGCGAATAAATCTCCGCTGCGAAAACGCGCGCGGAATCTTATCGGGAGAAATTTCGCGCGCGCGCGTCCCCTACATTCGCGTACACGCGAGCTTTGCGAGATCCCTCCAACCCGCAGGGAGGGCCGGCTCTACCCTTGACCCGTTCTACAACCAAGTGGCGACAATGAGTTCCGCTTCTCGCTCGTGGGACAAACGAGGCGGATTAGAAGATTAGGATGTTATCGCTTAACGCGCGCGCCCGCGCCCGGTGCCGCGTTCGCTCGGCTCGGCCGCTTGCACGCATAATATCGCGGCGATCTCAGATCTCTCGCCGCGTGTGAAGAACGACCGTTTGATCGCCGCTTAAGCTTCCCCTGGCGCCGGAAACTAGATATTTAGATTTGTAAATCTAGCACTCTTTAAAAAAAAAGATAGCGGTATCAGTGCTGTTCTCTTCTACCATGAATAATGTATTAAAAAAGAGGAACGATTATAATCTAATTATCGGAGATCAAATACATTTAAAGAATTGAAGAAGAAAACTCATATCATTATATGATTATTATTACTATTTCTATCTATAATTTTGCCTATTAATATTAATATATATTACTATTTTTTACTCATATAATATAATATAAAACAAACCAAGTAAAAATCCAATATATTAATATAGATAAAAACAGTGAGAATCCGGTAGGTGCAGAATATTTTACGATATCTTGATAACTTTCAATTACCATGTAAAATTGAATTTTAATTTAATTTCAATCGATATTAATTTAATATGTAGCGATAAAATACAAAAGAGGGTATCTCGAAAGGAAATCCCTCCTAACAAGGATACGGGGAGAGGGGAAGGGGGAGGAAAGAAGCCATCGATCTTTTGCCTCGTATTCGGCAACGAGGGTGGTAATTGCGGCATCGATACCGTCGATATTCATGTCAGTGATAAACTGTATCGATAACGGGGCCACCGAGGGGACGAGCGGACGTGAAGAACGGAGGCTCTCAAACATGCCCGTGAAACCGATGGAGCGGAGATCTCGTTCATCGGATAAGAGAGGGAGAGAGAGAGAGAAAGAGAGAGAACCAGCCTCCTTTCGCAAAGATAGCAACCGAGTAATTGATATACAGCATGTGTGCGATTCAAATGGAATGCAAGAACTATTCAGCTGGGAAACAGATTATCGTTCGAAAGCGAAGCGTTCGAGGTGGTACAGCCGTGTGCGGTGTGTTAACAAAGCGAGCGTGTGTCGCTTCCTCAATACATTGACCACCATTGTGCAATTAAATAAACTTCGTCGCTGACATCATTTTTTATATTAGTATGTGTTACTCTAACATGCGCTACTTAATTATATTTATCCTTCGTGAAAACTAATTACAGTAAAATTTTATTTCCTCTTCTAAAAAAAAAAAATTAATGGAATCGAATTGAACTCGTATTCGGCATGCGGTCAACGTCTTAATGTCAAAAATATTGAATATTGTTAAAGTCAAGTCTGA